TTAATAGCGGTCAGATCCATTCGTTAAAAGAAAACATATTTGTTTTAAACAAACTATTTATTAGAAGGGGTGTGAATTGCGGGGTTGGTAATGGGATGTGATGGGTTTTCACCTGAGAGTCACTGGTTCTAATTCAGTCTATATTAGTAATGGCTATTCAGGGGCCTATATAAATAAGTAGGTGGGGTTTTGTTCCAGCCCTGGTGGGTTGGCTGTACCACAGAGATGGAAGTGCCCATCTTCATAGAGGAGTTGTGTCCAGATCAGGGTTCAGGCAGGGGAAGCTTTACTGCCACTTTTTTTTTTTTCTGGGTATGTTCAGACTAGAGTTTGTGATCCTGTTTTAATGCGAGTGAATCAAAGTCAGTGTCCAGACCAGCAGCTAATTGTGTCCATTACCTCGAGTTTGTTGGCAATCACTTCAGGACTACAAACCCTCTGTGGATGAACAGTGTCAGTCACCAGGCCTGTCAATCTGATCTCTTTCACCAGTACTAAATTACCTTGTCTACCTTTCACGGGAGAATTGTTTAGTGAATGTCTTCCTGGAGCTCTGGCCAGGTGAAAGCTGACTGCGTGCTCACCAGCATTACTAAGAATATAATGTCATAAAAACTTTCACAAGATATTTGTTCTCTTGTTGTGTTTCAAAACATTTGTTAACAGGCAGGAAGGACTGTGAGTGGGAATACTGTTATGGCAGAGGGAAGTGGAAAGTGTCAGGTGTGTCTGGAATATACAGCCAGAGACTTTGCTTTGCAATGCCAAGGTGTTGCGTCTATGGAAATAGAATGAAGCCAACTTCCTGGAATGCTGGTAGAGATCGATCTATAGAAGCCTGACTGTCAGTCATGTGACCAGTCCTCTTTTGGGCAAGACGTGCCAATGTCAGATTTCCATATATATCCCTTTGAGTTTACATATTGCTCACTAGATGAGTCCAGACACATTCTGATAAGAGTTAGTGATTCATTCTTTCTTATTTACATATGTTTGCATTCACTAAGTCACTACATGGGAGCATGAATAACCAGTCTGTCTGCAAGAGGATATACACCTGGTGACCAAAGCCCCCTTCTCTGCTGGGTCCTGTCTGGTGTATATCTTTATAAGCAGTGTACTATATAAATGTTAGCTGGTAATTCATTAGAGATGGTCAGGCTCAGGGCAACTGGATGGATCACAGGACTGCTACTGGCAAACTGAGCCTTCCACTTCTAGGTCAGTGATCGAAAAATGACCCAGGTTCATAGTTCAACTTTAGAGGCTGAAATCTGAAAGCTTTTATGTTGCATATGTGAAATAAATTGCAGACGCTGGCCCCAGTTTATCTAACCACATATGCATGTGTTTAACTCTGAGCATGAGCTTAATAATAATAATGCCTAACTCTTTTCATCAGTAGAGCTCAAAGGAGGTCGATATCATTGTGGGGAAACCGAGGCACGGAGAGGTGAGATGACTTGCCCGGGTCCCCCAGCAGGCTAGTAGCAGAGCCCAGAGTAGCACCTGGCTCTCCTGTATCCTAGTCCATTACTCCAGCCATTAGCCCACACTGCTCCAGCTGTATTCAGCAAGTGTTTTGCTGACTTGGCTTCTTTGAGTGTAGCTCCTTAGAAAGGTAGCTCATCTCAAGGGTCTGTGTCATAGAAACGATCAAAATTGGCCCTCTTGTTACCAATCTCAGCAGAAAGGTCAAGATGAGTGAATCATGGAAACCTCCTCTCACCTCCAGTAGCGACCCTTCCAGCTCAGAATAAGGGGTGGTGGGGGATGGCATAGTGAGACAAGCTTGCAGTGCTCCTGTCCCTGTTGTGTGGACAGAGGAGTCCAGTTTCCAGCACTGCCAGGCTAACACCTTTCACCAGCACTGAATCCAAAAGGAGAGGGAAAAGGCCAGATTTTGTTTTGTCAAATGGAATATCGAATCCCTCCCATATTGCACATATACCAACTGACACTGAAAAAATTGGCTGGTGTCTCTGCACACCTGGACTAGCAGTTAGAAAAGTATGCATTCTACATAATTATTAATAGCTTGTCTACCCACCCACTCAAAGGATTGGACTAGCAAATATCCCTTAAATCCCCCTGTAAACACTGATGGACCAGCCTTAGTCAGCACAAAGGGGGATTATTGCCTCTGTATTTACAAAGCCCCTATAAATTTCCCTCCATCCGCACTTCTCCATGATTTTCCCTAGTAAGATTATCTCCTACCACCTTCCTTTAAAGGGAAGAAATGCAGGGTTTCCCAAGGAAACAAACAAAGATTGTCATCTCTTTGTGCCATGAGGGTAATCCCCAGATCAGTACTCCACACCCTCACCTTTTATGTCCATGCAAGAGACAGGCAGGTCCATGGATTGTTGAAGAAGGGAGGAGTCAGTGTACATGCATCCTGTCACATAATATACACTGTGAAAAGGTCTCCTCTCCCTCCCTCTCTTCCTCCTGTTTCACAAAGATTTGCTGGCCCAAGATTTTAAAGTAAGCTGGATCAAGATGCCCAGATGCAAAAGGCAGATATTTCAGAGTCTGCGTCTCATGTGACCTGATCAGATAGAAGGCACTCCAAGGGGCTGAGCCTACACCCATTGCAGACAATGGCAAAGATCTGGTTGATTAGCATGGAGAATAACAGGTTCCTGCATAGAAGTGGTAGGAAATTTTCATTAGAAAATGCTGATTTGTCAAACCTGAAATATTTTACAAAAATATTTAGTCAACCCGCAGGCAGGGTTTGGATGCAAATCTGCCTGGTTCTGAGCCAGGGCACCTAGTGGGCTTCTGAAGACCTCAGGGCTTTCAAGGATCTGTGGCTCCAGACTGCCACCGTGCAGTCAGCCCCAGGGCTGGGGACCCCATGGTCATCTGCTCCGGGGCAGCTCCACCATGTGGTCTTTCTCCCCCAGGATGCGGGAGCCAGGCAGAGTGGGGAGCCAGCTGGCCAGGGAATTTGGAAGCTCTGGGGTCCACAGCACCGAGGCAGTCTGCATGGCAGGGCTGCCCAGATCCTGGAATCTCTTGGAGTGAAATTGATATGATTCTTGTCAGTTTCATGACTGCTATTTAGATACAGGCAGCAGTGAAACACTGGCATCAATCATGTCAAGATCACTTAGTTGCTGGGGTTCTGGGATGAAAAGTGTTTTGGAAACAACATGTTTCCATGTTTCCTAAATGAAATTTTTGGAATCCTCAGTTCTGAGAAGTTTAGAAAAATCTGTTTTCTGCATGAATCCACCCGAAACAAAATTTCAAAATGACAAACATTCCTGGGAACTGGAAATTCTGGATTTTAGTTTTCTCTGCCCCGATGTACAGGTTCAGCATGTGGTAAACAATCCAGTGGGGATCTCTCTCCATTGAAAGGGATGACGGGGTAGTAGAATGTCTCCAGATTTATATTAGCGAGGTTTAAAAACGCACACAATGTTTAGAAAGGATAAATCCCCTAAGATTGTTTGTATGAGAGGGGTTAGGATTAGGAAGAAATTGCCCACTATGGCGTTTATTGCCCCTTCATCTGGTGCTGACTGCTGTCAGAGACAGGATCTGATGAGATCTGGCAATTCACTGCCACCTTTATCCCTGGGCACGACTATAGTAGATGCAGGTTCCTGTTGTTGTTATTTTTTTAATGCTTTACAGTTATAAGAAAGCGCATTGATGCCATCACTTTGTTTTGTCCTCGCGTTTATCAGTTTGCTAGTATTCACTTTTTACAGAGCTAAAACATTTCCACAGGAAATTAAAATTCATGTCTCATGTTTACTCAGTGATCCTAGTCACGCACAGGGCCGAGTGTAGCAGATTTCAAAATGCCAATCAAAACGACATGCCCAAGAGCTCCTTTGCTGTCTCTCTTTCTTATATTAGTATTTAACCTGCGGTCCTGGCAAGACTGATTGTTAGTCAACAATGGGTGATGTTACTCCGTTCTTCCCCCTCTGCTGGGGAAGGGACCCGGAGCAAGGGGGTGGGGAACATCTGTTTTGTTTTCATGGCGTGAAGTGTGGGATCGAGTCAGTGTCCTGTGTGAGAGCCTCCAGCAGACGGAGCAAACATCTCCTTTCGGCAGAGGAGCCAGCTCCATCCTTAAGCTCAGCAGGTGCAGTGAGCGGCCGAAAATGCACAACAGCGAAGTCACCGAGGGATGAAAACACAACAGGAGAAACTCTAGCGTGAAAACACCACACACACACACACACACACACACACACACCCTCTGCTCCAGCACATCGCCAAGGGCTGAGTGAATGGCAAAGGGAGGAGTTTGGTGCCGAGCAAGGAATGAATTGCAGGCCCTGGTCCTTTCCCCTTTTACAAACGAGGTGGCTGTGGCGTGTGTATGGACAGAGGGTCCATGGGAGGAGCGTAGCACCTTTCAATCAGTCTCTGGCCAGGCCAGGCCGGGCCAGTCTCGAAGGCGGCTGGGCTATCCGCGAAAGGAAGAGTGAGCAGCTGGGGACGGGCCCAGCCAGGAGCATGCTGCACGGCAAGGCTAGAGCTTCAGGGATTGCAGTGCTGCCCTCGTGTTTCCAGGCTCGCCTCTGCAGCGAGCTCCGGGGGGATCGGGGCTGGGGGCAGAGAGCCGAGGCGGGCCCACGGGAGCCTGCAGTTGGCTCGGTCAGTGCAGTAAAAATGGGACCAAAATCCGCTTCCCCCCCCCCCGTGCCGTGCCGTGCCGTGCCGTGCGGAGCGAGCGCGGGGCCGGGTGCCCTGACAGACAGCCGGGCCAGCCACTCAGGACCCCGCTCCCCGCCCCCTCCGGTTAGCCAACGACACACCCTCGACACACCCCCGTGTCCCTCACGGGCCAGCCAATCAGGAGGGCGCTCGCGACACACACTTAAGCCGGGTCAATGAGCCGCGAGGGCAGGTTTTGTACGGCACGTTCCGAGCGCGGCAGAGGCAGCAGCCGCCCGCCCGGGGACTCGCTGTGCGCACGGGACGCGGCTGGGCGCCTGGGGCCGGAGCTCCGGCGGGAGCGTGGCCGGCTCGGCTCGGCGCGGCGTAGCGTCCTGTGGCGAGAGCGCGCGGGCGCAGCACCATGGAGTCGGGGAGCAAGGTGACTGCGGGGCCGGCGGGGCCGGGGGAGCGGGGGCGGGGGCGCGGCCGTTTTGGAGGGAAGCGGCACTGGGGGGAGGCGCGAGCGGGCTGGGGGAGGTCTCTGCTTTCCGGGCGCTTTCTGCTCAACGCAGCCTCCTGCCCGCAGCCCTGGGCGGTCTCCCTGGGGCGGGGGACGCGCCCCGGCCGAGCCCCAGGGCAGGGTGGCTGCTCTGCGCCCAGGCTCTGCCGGGGACATCCGCTTGCGCCCCGGCCTGGCCGGGCGAGGGCTCAATGTCATTCGGGCCGGACCCCGTTTGGCCGAGGCGGGGCTGAAAACCCTAGAACCCCCCCCCCCCCATGGAGCATCCCCAGCGGCTCCCGGGGGGCGAGTCCTGGGCGGCTGTTTTACAACCGGGAAATAAGGGACCTTCCCCCGCCTTGGAGCCTTGTGGGCTGGAGCCGCCACCTGCTTTTGGCTCCCTTAGCCGGTGCGCGGCTGGCAGCGATGGGACCCGGCTGTGCCCCCTCGGCTCCCTCCTGGGCCCCCTCATTGCCGGGCAGGGGCGCTGGCACGGGGGGGGCAGGACTGCACGGACTGCGCGGCCCATCCCGGTCTGAGCAGCGTGCGGAGTGGAAAATTTTCAGCCTCCAGCGGCGATGGTGTGTTTAAAATAACTAAACAAACAAATTCCCCCCCAGACCAGTGGCTGCGGGGCCCCAGGAGCGATTCCCTGCCGGGTCCCAGGCGCAAGTCAATCAAGCCACGCCCGAGGTGTGGGTTAACAGGGCCAGGTGCAGGCTTAGGGCGGGGCCCGGTCCGGGGGCGGGGGGGGGGGGCGGGGGGGGGGGGGGGTCCGTGGGAAGGATGTCCGCGCCCTGTAGCCGGTCTGTGTCCCGCTGCTTAAAATACCCCGGTCCTTCTGTGTACGCCTTAGGCTCGGACCGCCGCCGGCCTGGCCTGGCGGACACCGGGCACTGGTGACCCCAAAGCTCACACTGGCACAGCGGGGAAGGCTGTAGCCTGACGGGTCAGGACGAGGCCGTTCGCAGAAAACTCCCCCCGCGTTTCCAGCTAGTCGGGCCGAGGGGGTGCTGGGCTTCGGGCAGCTGGCAGGTTTGCCCTGTTGCCAACTCCCGGGGATGTGTTTCCTTGATACTTGTCGGGTTTTTTCAAGCCCTGGACTCGAGGGTTTCAATGAGAATCTCCACTTCCGTTTTACATGTTTTTCCGAGCACTCTTGGTTATGGAGAAAAGTCTGGGAATGAGACCAGGTCCCCTCTAAAGGTTTAGAAACTAGAAGGCAAATAAACCCCATAAAGCTCTTATTGGGGGAGCCTCATGATTTTTAAGCATGTGGGTCCTGACTCCGTACTTCTGAACATGTGGGGTTGGCAGTCCTGATCCATCGGTCTACTTCGTTTCATTACTTAATGGACCGGACCATTATGATCATCTAGTCTGGCCGGAGAATTTCACCTTGTGGTGATTCCTGCATGGAACTTGTGTTTGAACTAGAGCAGGGATCCAATCCCAGAGACATTGAGGTCCATGGCAAATATCCCATCGATTTTTCACTAGAACTTGGATTTCATTCCATGTTTAAAGACTCCGAATTAAAAGGCTTCAGGACTTTTAAGATTAAAACTGATTCAGATAAGAAAAGTTAAACTGTTGGTCTCTAAAGTGAAATGTGATCTCCACCAAGGATACCCTCTTACAAATTATACAATCACAGTAAGGCCTTATGGGGGAAAATAGTATGTGTGTATTTCTAATAAATCTTCCCTTGAGTTGGGCCTCGCATCAGGGTTCAAATCTCCTATAATCTAATCCCCACACAGGCTTGACTTTCCCTCTCTTTGGTACATTTGCAGGACTGTGTTAAAAGGATTTTTCCCCCCTTGTTTTTATTTGCTTGGTGGAAGAGCCCCGTAGGTAAACGCTTCAGGGCAGGGACACTATCTTTGTTCTGTGCTTGGCCCATACCTAGTACCATCCAATGCTGAGCTCTTAAACACTAAAAGGATTAATTAACCCTTTAGTTTTTGAGTATTGGTCTGTGATGATTACATTGGCGCTCATGGTAAAAGGAGTAGGTTTATAATGAAGAAAAGGGTGGGGGATCCAAAGCAAAAAACAGAAAAATCCCATCCCTGCCCAACTCCAGCAACAGAGGGATTCGGACTGAGACTCGAACGTGGTCTCTTCTGATCTGACTTCCTAGGGGTCTCCGATCGCCTGACTGAGTAAATCGTTCCCCAGTTGCTCGCATCTTCCCTGGTGACCTTCCATTTCACAGGCTCATCCTGTTGCGTAGCCCTGGTATAACTGACTTGGGTGGTGCTACTCCAGATTACAGCTGCTAAACCATGGCCATGGAACGGCCATGGGTGCCATGTCTGGGGCTGGGCTAGCTGCACTAGGCGAGTTTATAACGGTGTATGTTTAAATATTGAGTATCCATGCGAACCCCTATGTAGCCTCTTGATATAAATCTGGCTTACATCGATTTAACTTAAATTGATTTCTTGCTCATTTAAATTAAATCAGTGTAAGACTGGGTTAAATTGAATTACGAGTGTCCACAAAGGGGGGTTGAACCAGTTTAACCAAATTGAGTTAAAATAATGATGTTAGTTAAACTGGCAGCTCTTGTGTGAAGATAAATGTGTAGACTAGCACTTGCAATCGTATTAGGTCACTTGAGTCAACTGGCAATGAATGAAGTCAAGTTGCATACTAGACGGTCGGGTCCCTAAAGCAGATTTTTAGGCCACAATGTGCAATGAAAGGGGGATACCAGATTCCGGGGTGTGGGATTCAGTCCAGCAGGCTTCTACCCTCTCCTACCATCTCTTTTAAAATAACCGGTCTTGTGACAACGCAGTGAGGTCCCAGGAGAAGCAAAGCCCCTCTTTGCAATGCTGTTCCGGCAGTCTGGTTTGTTTTTTTTGTTTGTTTGTTTTTTCTGGGTCAAGATGCTTGTAAAGTTTTTGTGCAACACTGTCTCCAGATTGCCTCGTTTCTCCCTAGCTTTGGAATGTGTTTGGGCTCGGCGCGTTACCGTATTTAGTTCGCTGCGCTCGTGTGCATTCTCAGGAGTGCTGCAGGCTGGGGGGGAGCTGGCTGGCAGCTCTCGGAGCGGAGCCTCCCTGGGCTCCGAGCTGTGGGTTTGGAACCGGAGCTCTGGGACGTGACAGCCAGGAGCACCTCACAGGCAGAGCCCGGAGGAGGCGAACGGCTGGGACGGAGGGAATTTTGCCCGTTTGACCACAGAAACCCAACGCACTGCGCCAGATTCTGATCTCGGGCAGGGGGTGTAAATCCGCAGTAGGCTGCATTTCCCTGTAGAAGCCCCCAAGGGGGACAAGGGGCCGGTTCACCTAAGAGAACCACTGAGGCTGGTCCCGCTCCGCTCCGTGTTTAGGGGATATTTCCTAGTCTCTTTAGCTGATCTTTTCAACCCCTCGATGCTGCCTTCATTTCTTGGGGGGGCGGGGGGGGTTACTTCAAACTGTTTCGAGACAGTTTAATCATACGGTCCTGGGGGCGAGTAGCGCCCAGAGCTCGGGGCGGGCACCCCGTGACCCGCTGCCCCCATCCCCTCGGGCCCGGCTGGCTGACTCGGGGGTGCCCCGGGTTCCCCAGCGGCCCGGGCCGGGGGTGGTTCTGTCTCCCGGGTACTCGGCGGGCTCGGGGGGGATTTCCCCGGGCGGGGCTGCTCCTGGCGGGCGCGGCGCGCTGCGGCGTCCCGCCCGCCTCCATTAGGAGGGACGCTGCCGGCATGTCCCCGGCGTGCGGGGGCCGCCCCGCGGCTGCGCGCCTGGGAGCGGGCCGGGGGGGGGGCAGCCCCTGCCATGCAGGCCAAAGGGGAGAGCGGGCCCGGCATCCCGGGGCGGGGCCTCGCCGGAGCTCGCTCGCTCCCCATTGGCGGCCGGGGACGAGCCCCTCTCAGCGGGCGAAGGGGCACCGAGCGGGGCGGCGGCGGGAGCCTCGCCTCGAACCTGCATCAGCAGCTGCCGGCTCCAGGGGGGCCGGGGAGCCGCGGCAGGGATCCAGGGGCACGGCTGGGGAGGTGTTCCCGGGCTGCCCGTCTTCCGCATCTGTCACTTACCTTGGCGTGCTGCAAGGGCTAGTCACCACATTCCTGCCAGGGGCCGGCTTCCTTCTGGCCCAGCCAGATCTCCCCAATCCATCAAGGCCGTCTCCGGTCTCTGTATTGAGATCCAGCCATTGCGTTTTTAACGTGTAGGAGCCCCCATGCTTTCTGGGCAGAGACAGGGGAGGGAAGTCCCTGGGTCACCTCCTGAACATGGTAACTTTGACAATGAAACCTTCCTCCGCTAGCATGGTCTGGACAGGACCCTGCAACCCTGACTTGCAGGAACTTGAGGGACCCCTTGGGAGGAAGGATTAGGTACCTGAGTGGGGGGTTGCAGCTCAGACTGTATTTCTGATGTACGTCACCAGACCAAGTTTTATTCTCTCTTTTTACAAAGCACCAAGCATGATAATACTAAACCACTGTTTTTATATAATGAATATCTGACGGATGCACCCTCCATTGAGGTGCAATGCAGCACCTTCTGATGCCAGGTGGGGCCCACCGCTTTGCTTGCAAAATGCTGTAACCTTCCTCTTCCCTCCAGCCCTGCTATCAGTAGCCTTCAGACAGAGCCCGGCTACTTTGATATCAAGTTACAGGATACGCTGCAACTGACTGGGTCCTGTTATGGAGCAGATTGCATTACACTTTTTATCCTCCGTCATTTCAAAGGTGGAAATGCCTGTAATTCCCTCCCAGGACTAAAGAATTCCTTATTTCCTGTGTCTTAACTGTAGGCCGAGCCCTTTTAAATGAAGTTGTGAGAGGCATGAATAGGTAAAAGGATGGAGGGGAAAGACAAGTGACGCAAATAAAAACCACAGTAGAGAAAGACAATCAGCTGTGGATACTCCTGTTTATCAACTAGACAAACTTAATTCTTAACTCAGTGGGAGAAGATTTTGTTGGGTGG